GGTAGTTTGTCCAATATAAAAATGTATAGATAGGTAATAGCGGAATAAAATTCCCCTAAAAAAAACCGACCCTACGAAAAATAACACCCAGGGCCAGACTACAATATTACTGACTACTGACAATCACATGGCATTTTTAAAACATAATTGGTGTAATTATTACATTTGGTGGCTACTATAGTTGCGTCCCGCGGTAAAAATTTCTTCCGAATTGGGGCCCGAGTTCTTTTAGGGTGCATACGAATTTCGGCCCGAAATTTAAAATTAAATTAATTGAAACATGGAAATTAAAATTAAAAATACCTTTATTTTCCTTCACATTTGTATACAGACTGTCTGTAGCACCAGTAGATATTGCAAGTAGGTTAAAAATTATGTTTTGTTTTTATTTAAAAATTTTGCACTGGTAAAAACGTATATGATATTTTAGTTAAAAATGTTAGTATAATTGAGTAAACTTCGTAGGTATGATAGTATTTGTATAAATTCAAGTTTGTTAATTTGGTTTTCTTTTAACCGTTTCATAGCATTTCTAATAAATGTTACTTTTTCAATTATATTTGTTCTGCGAGTATTTAAGTTAATTATATGCTGTATAAATCTTTTTAGTACAGCTATATCAATCAACATTATTTTTTAAATTTATATTGAAAAAAAATATGGATAATGTGATAATATTTTATCAGTCAAGATGAAAATAATTACCTATCTTGAGTTAAAAAAACTCGGGCCGCAATTCGGATTACCCTTTTTCGTAGTTATCTTTTTTTTTAAAAATTATCACATTTATTTTAAGAGGTACCTATATATGAATATATGATTAACTGAGCTACTATTTACTAAATGTTATATGTCCATGAGAGTCCGAGTTATGCAGTGTGCACTGAGATTCACTGAATGCAGTAAAACCTTGTTTTGTTATCGATAATACACACAGTTTTGTCTACGGTTTTATAATTATATGTATTTATAATTTCTATGTACCTACCTAATTATTGGTTTTTCATATTTTTAACAAAGAACAAAACAATAGTATAAACCTACTATAGTACAATAATATCAAGCCAAGTTCTAGCTAACAGAACTGGCGAGCAGCACCGTGTGTAATATTACACGAACCATTTGGAGCCACTTTTGACCCCCTCATAACTCAAAAACTATTCCACATAAACATGTCAAATTTGGCTCATATATTGAGACTAACGAGATACATATGTGCTCTAAATTTCATAAACACACTTCAAACCGTTATTTAGATATTAACGTCCGAAAATCGTCATTTTTATCACTGACTTACCTATAGATCAATATTCTAACCCAGTTCCAGATGACCTAGAAAGTTCAAATTTGGCATACAGATAGGTAGTTAGGTAAATACAAAGGAAAAAATCAGAAACTTGAAAATTTTTAATTTTTAATTTTTTAATTTTTAATTTTTTAATCAATTGATTTTATTATAATTTTGCAATTATTTTATCTATTATGTTTAATTTTTCAATGTATTAATGAATTGCCTCTAATTTAATGTAATGTAATGTAATGTTGACTTAAATTACCTTTCCCGTATCGCCGCTCCAAAAATACGACTAGCCGAATATGTGTCGATATTGTCGACCCGCGCGCAGCAACATACTTTTTTGGGAGGTGCTAAATGTTTGGAAACTAATTGATTAGAACTTTAAACATATGGAAAATAAAATTAGAGAACGCTAATGTTTAGGAAAATAATTTTTTGGAAAATAAAAAAATAATTATGTGGAAAACAGATTTGTTAGAAAATAATTTATAAAAAAATAAATAATTGGAAACCTAAAGTCATGGAAAATATTGTACACAAAATATAATAACTATGAAAATAAATAGCCAGAAAACTAAAACCACGGAAATCCAAAAAATATAAAAATAATTATATAGAAAACAGATTTGTTAGAAAATAATTTATAGGAAAATAACTAATTGGAAACCTAATGTCATGGAAAATATTGTACACGAAATATAATAGCAATGAAAATAAATAATCAGAAATCTAAAACCATGGAAATCCAAAAAATTATAATCCAAAAGTTTAGCGTTAAAACTATAAAAGTTTAAACCTTACAGAATGCAGGGGCCCCGAATCAAAGTATGATTCCAGATTTAAAAAAATGTACCAGTTACCTCAAATGAAATGTACCAATTCCCCTCAACGTAATATCGCACCTGGTATAATTTGGTGAATTTTACCGTTATGGGTAGCGACAATTTGTTATTTCTTGGCAAATAACAATATAATATGTCGCTTATAATTATGATCATTGAGATTATTGTAGTAGTTAGTTTATCGAGTATTTCGTGTATCATTTTATGTATTAGTTTATTACCTATATATTAATTATAAATTACTAACAGGACAAGGCAATTCAGCATTGCTATTGCAAGGGTTTTATGATTATGCGAGCAGTATATTATCAGGACCTCGAGTGGTGCGAATCTAGGAAAAAAAAATCCCCGGATAAAAAATCCCCATATCTATAACTAATAGTTGGATACAGCTGTAAAAGTGTAAAAAATAATATTGAATACCTAGGTAATAAAAAAAATTAAAACAATATAAAATGTGAATGATAATCATTATAATAATATCTAGTTCTGTATAAAATAAAAATAATTATGATAGTAATAAAAATATATAAAATTTGAATGATAATCATTATAATAATATCTAGTTCTGCATAAAATAAAAATAACTATGATAGTAATACAAATATATAAAATTAGTTTAAAAAGTTGATCTCTTGCGTATATTATTACTCACAGCTGTCAAAAATTCAACAATGGTTATGTTACCTTCATTTTGTCTTTTGACTAATTCTTTGAGACGGATGTTTATAATTTTATAGTGGCCTCTTTTTGTACTACTCTCTTCGGGTTCACCTAAAGCATCTATTGCTAACTTTGCTCGATCGGCGTTAATTTAATTTTTAATTTTTCTAATCAGTTTCCATATTATGGGATGTTTTTGACCAACTAGTTTTGAGAACCTATTGTTCCATCCTTCAACAATGTTGTTGGTTCTGTTGCAGTTATTGAGGGTACTTTCATTTACGTTCCATACAGCTGGAGGGTACATCGGTGGTAGTTTTCAAAACCTAATATTATTTTCATCACTTCCTATTCTTCGATATTTGCCATTAAAATTTGTCAGTCGGTACCTATTATATCGTAATCGCAATCGCATTTATTAAGAGGACGTTACACCGACATATTTTGTTGTCTCCATTTAAGATGTACAGTTAAATATAAGTAAACTTAGCAAACACAACGAAGCAAACTTAGGGGATTTTTTTTCCGGGGATTTTTTTTCCGAATACCGTGCGTACGTAGGTAAGTGTATTGCTTAAATCTTAAGTATCAAAAAATTCAAAAAAAATTGGCCAACTGTTTAACCTAACCGTGGTTCAAACTCGATAGGTACTTTAGTACAGGCTTATCACATTATTAATAATAAAAACTATTATTAAAACAAATAGCAACCATATATTATAAACAAAAATAATAATAATAATTTCAAAATCCCTGTTTGAGAACACCCCTGGGTGGGACTTCTTTTTACATTTTTTCGAGACAAAATGTAGCCTATCTTCTTTCCCAAGATCTAATCTTTCTCTATTCTCTGTAGGTACCAAATTTAATCGCAATCGGATGAACGGTTTAGGAATGTATAAATTACATAGTCAGACTCAACAATTTTATTTTATATACAATGTATATTATACCTATATGGATAAATGTTCATACTGTATGGTGTCATTTAGTTTTGTTAATTTCTAGTTCTTATGTAGTTTAGACTTAAAAACGAACAGTGATGTAACTATGTAAGTTAAATCTGAAATTAAATGGTTTTTGCACATGTATTAAAGGAGGCCGAATACACATGGCTCACCTTTCAATAATTGTAAGCATAATATTTGCCATTAGCCCCCACAATCATTTCAGTCAATTTCCGCCCAATGCCTATGTATATGTATTAGGTTTAGGTACATCGTACATAATTTACATGCATGTAAAGGTTGGGTTAGTTTAGGTATGTTGATTTATATATAATTATATTAATCAATCAAGAAGTTTGAAAATTAAATATAAGATTCCTTAAAAGTTGTTATTCAATATTCAGGAATAAACATCGCTCCGCTCAGAATCTAAAAAAGTTTTATTGTAAATACAGTATACACCATGATTAATGAATAATGATATCGACAAATTTAAGAACTGATAACAGTGATAACGAAATAAAAGTGAAAACCAACGGGAGAGACAATGGGCCGCCGCGGCGCCGATGGTAAGCGATTGGACGCGCTAAGGAACCGATTGACCGTTTTGCTTGGCGGACGGTATACCCCGGTAGAAGTATGTAGAAGCGGCGTTTGATTTTTCGCTTCAAGGGTTCACTAATCAGTATAGTTTTCGCTTCCACGGGTTTTCATAGGGCGCCCCCACCATGGAGATAGTAGGTATACCATCAAGGTTTATAGATATATAAATAAGTAATAAATTAGCACGATTTAGATAATACCATCTTTAATCGTGGTAATGAGTAATGAGGTATACGGTATACCTATAGATAAGATATTTATTGTTATATTCTGTATTTCTGTGATAAGGTCCTGTATATTTCAACAATTCAACATGGTCAACGGTATTTTTATGCTAATATACCTATTAAAGATTAAAATTTAAAACCGTGTTTTTAATAATTAATCTAATAGGTATTCTATATTTTTGAATGTCTTCACGTGATATTAAAAGCCTTCGTAAACAAACCATAGAGTAATGTATTCAAATTAAATGTATATTAAATTATTACTCAACTTATATACTTTATGCACAAAACAAAAACAATTATTTAGTTAATTATGATTTGTGAGTATTTATTATATTTTGTATTATTAGTAACACATGACAGTTTTTTTGTCCGTTTGGTTTTAACTTTTATAGTTTTATTTATTTAATTGCTGGATTGGTCATTGATGAATTCTGATTATCATCAGCGTATCTAGTTGACAAATAGGGCACTTGGTTATTTCATCAGTGGTACAATTTACACACAATACTTTGTGCCCACAAGGTATACAAGCATGTGTTGATTCTGTTGATGAGCACACAACACAATAAGTTGAATCTCTAACCATGTTTTCATTATTTGGTAGACCAGGAGCGGCAGGAGCTATAATATTATCATCTTCATCTATTTAAAAAAAAGTGAGTGTATTAATGAATTACATTCTTATTATATTTTTACATGAGATTAACCAAACTAATATACTTATAGACTCATTAGGAGCAAATAATGGCTCATCATCTTGAACATCAAACAGCGTATTTCTTTGTTGTACATTTGCAACTATTAAAAATTATATTAATATTTACAATATATTCATATTTTATATTGTAATATTTTCATCTTTCTGTACACCAATATTGTTTGTATATTCTGCACACATTGTAAAATTATGAAACAGGACTCTCGTCTGTATCTTCATATAAATAAATAAATTACCTAATTTAATTCACATAATTTGTTAATTTCCAGTAAAACCAGTGTAACTGCTTTAAACAAATATCAACAAATATTATTGACTTGTTAGGAGTACCTACCTACCAATTAAAAAATATTAACTTCCAATATATTTTTAGGTACCTACTTTGTTTATAATTTAGACATACTTAATAGTTGATAATATGGCAGTGGCGGATCCAGTGCTTAATTATTTAGGTGAGGGGGGAAGAGTACAAAAAGGCTACAAAATTGGCTTAACATAGGGAAACTATAACTGCGGCGATTGTTGGGAAAATTCCCCCTTTTCTTCCTCCTTTCCCTAGACCCCCCACTGTAATATTAGACTGTAATATACTGTAATACTGTATTTATTACACTGTAATATATAGTTAAGTTAATGAAAACCTAAATATTAATAATTAAAAATATAAATAACTACTTAGTATTTCTGGCACTTCACATAATTGAACTTGGCGGTCTCTGACTGGTCTTTGATTGTCCATATTTCTTGTCTATTTAAAATATTTATCAATATTACAATAAGGTACCTATTATTATTTAATATTTAATTATTATAATTACTTCTACAGCATCATTTTCATTTTCTATTTCCCCAATTTCATCAACTTCTCTTGCTACAATATTTTCTTGCTGTAGATCAATCATTTTATCAATTATTATTATTTATTAATTAATATTTTAGTATTATGATTACCTCTGCAGCATCATCTCCATTGACTGCTTCATTATTTTCAAATTGATCATCTTCGTTAAGAATTTCCATATCTTCTACTTCGTTTATTGCTGGCTGTAAATCATTATACATTTTATAAATTATTTATTATTTTATATTTATTTATAATAATAACCTCTGCAGGGTCATCTTCATCGACTGCTTCATTATTTTCAACTTCTCTTACTAAAATATAAGTAAATATACAGCATATTGATTCAAACACATTTAATTTTATTATTGAAATGTAAATATCTATAAGACTATACGTGCCCCCCCCCCCCCCCACCAATAATGACTGTAGTGAGGACTAGTGACTTAGACTCGTGGGGAGGGTGTAGTTTTTAATTTCTTTTTACAGCCCCTACATGCTGATATAAAGTGGCTCATAGTATATTAATTTTGTTTCACATCACAAAAATCGAATATTATTTTGTTTATATAAATTGATTACATATTGCTTTTATAATATAGTTTGAAATATGGTAGGTATGCTTTTAAGGGAATAGATATCTACATATTAAAAAAATGTACTGTGATTATTGACTTTTTGTTTTATATATTTTATAGGTAAGGTGTGAGTTTTTATTCATACCATTTTGAACGCCTAACGCCCAATGTCTTTGGCGCATTTCATATGCTGCCATCGAATACGAACACCGTTCTAAAAACTGTCTCAATGTAATTAGTTGTGAATCATATTCTTCCGTGGCTCTACGTATTCTGGCACTATTCGCCAAGAATTTAACACTAAGTTTTTTAGTTGGTTGCAATCCATTCGATAGCTGATCTACTATAATGTGGTAATTTTCACTTAAATGGCTAAGTTGTTCTGAAAAAAAATATTTTCTAATTTAGTTAATTATTAATTTAAAAGTATCAATAAAGCCATAATAAATACTGACCCAAAAATACCCATAGGTTAGGGTGAGAGACAGAAAATTTTAGCTGTAATGATTTGTGGAAGGACTCAACATTATTGTTTGTCCTTCTTGGACATCCATTCACAGATAATGTGAGTACTCCAACACGTAGAATCCAAAATCTATGACAATTAGATAAGATTGAATACATTGATAAATATAAAATAATGTTTAAAATAGTTAGTTAAAAATTACCAGATTATATTATTTTAATGTAAATTATTATAATTATCAATTCTATAATAAATGGAAGTTCATAATTATAAATGGAAGTTTATGTAAGTTAATAATGATAAAAGGAAGCTTATGCAAAATATTATATCACTTATATTATAGTTAGTTACCTTCTATAATAATCAAAGAGTCTGTCAAAATTTATATTTTTTCTTCTTGCCAACTGAATAATCCAATTTAACCCATTTTCAATGTCGTTAGCTGGTAAGAGTGGAAGACTTAATAGCAATCTTAAGCATTTAAGTGCCCATTCATTGGTATTCACTAAATTTAAATACCCCAACTTCTTCATTTTTCGCCAAACTGCCTATTTATTAATCAAATTATAATACAAAATACAATTAACTTTGCTAAAAATAGTATAAATAAGGAAATATATATACATAAACTGTAACTATAATGTGTAGGTACCTATTTTTTATAATTTGAATTTATAGTTTATACATTGTTTAATTTATACGTGATGGTACCTCCTGACTATACAAATTATATCTTTAATATGTACTACCTACTTATAATGTTCTAGGAAATTATAAATTTTGTTTTAAATATCAAAATATTCAAAATACAATTGTGTATGCTTAATAATAAATATTATTTTATATTAGTACATTTATTATACATAATATCCTAAATTAACCTTGATAAATATTATATGAAACCACAGACACATCTTTTAGTTTAATTTTAAATACATATTATAGTTATCAGAATATCACTCTTGAAAATAAAAAATATAAATATTTAGTATGGCAAGATGTTACATATAAAATCTCATAAGTATATATATTTCAGACTTGCTTGATTGTGGTGAAACCAACATCCAACTGCTCTGGCTTGCGGAAAATGTGACAACAGAGTATCTTTTAAAGCCGATTCATAGTCCGTTATTATCCTCGTAATGTTCAGGTTTTGCAGCATATTTTGTTTTATGTATCTAATAACACATTCATATGATGGCCTTCTTTTTGATTGCATCAATACATAACACACAGGTATAGACTATAAGCATAAATATATATTGAATTTATAATAAGTTATGATTTGTAATTAAGGTTTTTTAAGTTATAGAATAATATTATATGAAATAAATTCAAATCAAGTAAAAAATGTTTTAGCTTACATAGTTTTGGATCATGCAATGTAGCACCAACAACTGTTTTGCATTTATTCCAGTTGGCACAACTTTAAATGTGCCATCAACGTGTAACTCATCTACTTCGGCTTCCACTACAGACTGTATTAGTTCAGGACATCCAAAAATAATATTATAATTTCCCTGATCGTCTTGAACACAGCCTCTATAGAACGTTGTCTGAGTGCACGTAAATCTATTAAGTTCTCCGTTATCAAATAGAAGAGCCAGAGCTTCTAAAGAGTTGGGTAACTCAGGAAGTGAAATTTTTCTGGCATATCGCATAATTTTTTCGGCTGTTGACCAAGGATACATTGCAGATGCTTCCCTATTACTAAAATAAATAAATAAATTTAAGTGTTAATTTGAACTAAATACTAGGTAATAAGAATTAAGAATAAATTACTTTCGAGCTTCCTCGTCATAAATATTTTTCAGTAGCCCAATTTCATTAATGGCTCTGTTCTTCAAAATCTCTCTAAATTCCTTTTTTTTATCATTCTGAGGAAGTCTGTGTGTGTGATGTGCCTTAATCACTTTTATTTGTCCATTATTTAATTGTTTTATTGATGCTTTACAAAAGGCACTTTGATATTGTTCACACTTAAAGTAACTATACAATATTTATAATTAATATTGTTTTAATACACCATATAAATTAAATATCAAAATATTTTGTATTAATATTGTATTTTTGTATGATTAAAAATTAAAAAGTTTGATATACATAAATAAATATTTAATTGTTTTTAACTTACGATACTCCTTTCTTGTTGTTGCCATTACAAATGAATTTAAATCCTTCATGAATCATGTTTATTGTTATGGATATTATGGTAAATTAAAAAAATTTTCGAAACGTATTGTATTTGTGTAGACTAAAGTCGATAAAACGAATAATACGCGACGAACGGTGTTGTATCTCCTAATTTCAGAATCAACAATGACAAATTACGTATAGTAGGTACTGACAAACCCTCGATACAAATATACAATCAGGCAATTTTGTACTTTCTTAATCAAGTTTTTAAGAATATATTTTATGCTGGTGAGTGGTGACTATTAGAAAAATTACTTCGAACCACGATTAAAGATATACCTTTAATAGGTATATCTTTAATCGTGCTTCGAACTATCAACTATTAATTATTATAGTATACTAGATAGTAGATACCTACTAGGAAATAATTTTCAATTTCATTTTTGTCACAAATAGTAATAGTATAATAAGTATGTATAAATGTTCTAAGATTTTATATACTATAGGGTAAATAAAATAATAAATAAAAGCTAAAGTTTAAAACTTTAGATTCTGAGTGGAGCGGAGGTCAAAATTAAAATAAGTATTAAAAAGCGCCGAGAAAAACAAAAAAAAATTAAGGAAAACGGAAATTTTTACTCAAAATCAATTTTGGTTTTAGTGTAACCCTAAACAAATTTATCATACATACATGACATTTTCACTGAATGTTTACATTATTATTTTCCATACACCGTAAAATTTTCAAAATATTTTGACTCATGTTGAGCTATTTATAGAACATGCTGAAATATTCGATTATATTTTGTTTTTTTGAAAATGTAGTACAAGGTTCCTCGTAATTTTTGTTAGTGGAAATTATAAAAAAAATTGAGCGTAAATCCACAGTAATTGTTTATGAGCGTCTGAAGTTCGAATTTTTATAATCATCAATCACGAAATCACGTAAATTTGCAAGTTGTTTTCAGTTAGAAATTCGTAAAAATAGGTAAGGTTACCTATTGGTAATAAGTAATAACAATGTAAATATAATATAAAAAACCATTGGCTGACTAACCGTCTCCGCTCAAAATCTTTTTACGTATACAATTATATTACATCACTGAAATTTTAATTCAAATTTAACACCATCCATTACAGTGACCAACTTATAACCTACTGTACAGCAGAGTGACACCAACTTACCCGCTTTTAAAATTATTATTATCTATGTACAAAATAATGTTTGTGATTTTGACAAATTGTGCAACACCCAAAACTCCCCAGACTACGCCGTGGTTACCTCCTAAATACTTATGTTTGCCTTATGTCTATGGTTTATCTGCTATCATGATACTCGTGTAATCGTGACATTGTACGACTGCAAGTGAAAATTATTGGGAATTGGACTATAAGTAAATCGAATTTAATAATCAGAAATTCAGAACTCTTATGCGTGTTCACATATTCTGCTGATGCGTGTAAACAATTTACGCGAATATCATTTAATTGGTACTTTAGGTAGGTACCTACCTGGTACACACAGTAACAATCCAAGTATAATAAATTGTATATTATATCATAATATGATTATCTTAACTATTATTGAACAGTTAAAATTAAATTTATTACGTTTTATCATTGTTTATAAATAATTAAAAAAAAAATTAAAAAAATGTTTGATTATAACAAAATAATAATATTATTATTATATAGGCAGTACTAATTGTATGGAAATGTATTGATTTTGATAAATTTAAGTTGTGGCAGGTCAACAATTACATACACGCACAACACACTATAAGTACCTATACATGTAAACTATGCAAAGGTCACTAAGTCTAACTCGTTAATTTGTATTTTCACTATAATAAGAATTTTGAATTGCAGTGTCATGTATTAATTACAACCATTCAAAAATAACTACTTTGCCTAAAAGAAAATCAATTAAAACAAGCAAAAACAAAATTTGGTTACATATAAAATTTGGAAAAATGGCCAAAGCTGATTCTCAAAAATCACGTCTTTGGACTTAGTGTGCTTTGCATGAACGGGGACGACATGATGTCCCGGTTTGGCTATATTTAGTTGTATAGTTTTGTTATCTGCTGATTTTTATGGGCCCCTTTTTTGTCATTTACCTACAGTCACGATTGTCATCGAACAAGTGTTAAAAGCTGTACCTACTTACCTTTAAGCAGTCGCGTACTTTTTTAACGTTCATATAGACTCACGGGAGGTCTAACAGATTCCTTTTCTATTCCTAAAAATGCTTAAAACCTATATATACAGTTCATTTTTCTAAACTTTAAAGATATTAGGTATGGGTTACCATAATATGATATATTAGTATGATATTACATTAATATACATAATACGTAGTAAAATAATTAATATTATAAAAATAAAAAACTTGAAAAAAAAATATTATGACGCTACAACTCATGTAGGTGTAAATTATGATTCACTTCCGTTTTTGACACCTATTTTGAAGATGCTTAACATATTTTTAAACTATCTATTATAGAAAAATCGATTAAACATTATTATACAAACCATCTTCTAAGTATAGAAATAAATACAAATTCGAATTTTGTAATATATACGTTTTATTGTTGATGGGGGTCATTTAGACCCCCAAAGCACTGCCTAAGGGGGTTAATCCAGCCGACTCATGTACTGGTACTAAAGTGGTGTTTTTGGTGTTATTGTTTGTCACGTCTTAACTTGTAATACATTTACCATACTTTGTTTTAAAATGGGAAAATGCCAATTTTGGTATATTTTGCTGTTTTCATTGCATATTAAAGCAATTTTAAGAAGTATAAAATCTCGACCTCAGTGGTGTAGGGGGGGGAGGGTGAATTTCAAATCCCCAGAGAGAATGACGTTCAACTCCTCCCATGGGGTGGTCTGCAGCATGTGGTGGCGAAAAGCCCAAGGGGGGCACCAATCAGCCCCCCTCAGAAATAAGATATATCCACCACTGTAGTTAGCTAGTTAGAAATCTATGGTTAGGTTAGATACAATAGTCTAACAATATAACCAATAGACCATCTACAAGGTTAAAAGCTGACTATCGATAGGTATAGTAATTCCTAATTAGTAGCTGTTGATAAATACCACTGTGGGCTGTGGCACAGTCTATGATACATCTAAAAATATAATACAATAACAATGACTGCGAGAACACAATATTTACAATCTCTTAAAACGTTGTTTTTTATTTTCTTCATTATAAATATATGTAGTAAAGATATTGTAGTTTTAAACATTCACACATTAATAAATGTGACATGGAAATTGGAAGATCAAATTGTTTTGTTGTATGCAAGGTTAAGCAGTGGTGTAGCCAGGAATTTTGTATGGGGAGGGCTAAGTATCACAACATAGCTTGGTATCACAATATTAAATACCTTGGAGTTTTATTAGATAAAAAACTCACTTGGAATCCTCATATATCATTGAAATTACAGCAAGGATACCAACGCTTAAAAATAATATCTCCACTCATAAATCGGCAGACTTCATTGAACTGGAAGTGCTCACTATTATTATATAAACAAATAATTCGCCCTTTAATTTTATATGCAGCCCCGGTCTGGGGACAATGTGCTACAACTCATATACACAAAAAATGCAAGTATTACAATCAAAAGTCCTTCGTGTAATTTCAAATGCCCCTTGGTTTGTCCAAAATTACGCACTGCACACAGATTTCAAAATTCCAACTATCAAAAACTACATTAAAGAATTATCGGTAAGCTTCTTTAACAAATTATCTAAAGCAAGTGGTCCACGGCACTTCAGGCTTCACACGACGTCTTTAATCTTTAATCTACTATTGTATTATATAAATATTGTCTTATATTTTATTATTTTTATTATCTGTTAACAGGGGCGTATTTATGGGGGAGGCTGGGTGGGCTGCAGCCCCCCTGAAATTTCAAGAAAATCCAAAAAATATGAATGTCAATAAAACATTATTTGTTGGGTAAAAAAGCTTGAAAATTTAATACAAGGCTCCTGCTATATTGTTACAATAGCAGTTGAAAAATATTAAAAATCCTTAGTCATAGTTTTTTATAAGCATTTAAAGTTCGAATCTTGATAAAATACGGAAAAATCACAAAACTTAAAATTTTGCTGAATGTTTTCATTTTTTATACACCGAAAAAATTTGAAAATATTTTGTCTCTTTTTGAGCTATTTACGGACATTGACAGTTTTCATTTTTCTTAGTTTTTTTTCTATAAATATCAATAAAAAATTTTTTGTTGGGTAAAAAGCGTGAAAATATAACGCAAGGCTCCTGATATATTGTAACAATATTAGTTGAAAAATATTAAAAATACATAGGCACAATGTTTTCTTATAATCATTTAAAGTTCGAATCTTGACAAAATTTATCAAATTTAAAATATAATAAATATTTTGTAATTAAAAATGTATAAAATGTTCAACTTTCATAGTTAAGGATTAAAAATTTAAAACAATGGTCCACGTAAATAGGTAAATATATAAATTACTTTATTCACAATAATATCATCAAATATACTTAGTAATATCATAGGCTGACTGACCGTTTTCGCTTAGAATCGTTTTTCTTATACAATGATATTATATCATTGAATTCAAATTTTACACTATCCATTACAGTGACCCACTTGTTACCTACTATGCAGCAGAGCGACATCCACTTACCCACTTTTTGTTTATTGTGTGACTATGTTGATAATTTTGTTCAGCCCCTCCCGAAATAAAATTCTGGATACGCGCCTGTCTGTTAATGTTTTAAATCTTATCCTATTCAGTATATTTTAAACCATAGTTTTAACTATTTATACCTTAATTCTGATCTAATTTATAAATGTTAAAAAATAATTAATTCCTTACACCTAAGTTTAGATGATGTCAGGGAAACTTTATATTAATAAAAAAAAAAAAAAAAAAAACTAGTAACTACCCTAACTAGTAGTTATATTACAAAAGTCAAAACCAAATAGCATATTATACATTTATACATCACAACAAATACTACTTATTACCTAGTTATTATATTAATACTCCGAATA